AAAAAAAAAAAAAAAAAAAAAAATTACATCAGAGACTTTTGCTTCTGGCCAAGTTGGAGTAACAGAAGCCAGATTTGCCCTCCCACCTGAAACAACCAACCATCAGACAAAATGTTTGGAACAAATAGTTTTCAAGACATTGGACACCATCAGTGTGATCACTGATATGGTTGGGTTTTAATCTACCATCTTCCTATTTGTTTTCTATTTGTTCTGTCTGCTGGTCCTTAAAATTTTTTTCTGTCTTCTTCTGTATAGATTTTAGAAGCACCTTACTGAGTTCCATGAAAAATATTTGTTGAGGTTTATATTGGAATTACATTTATTATACAGATCAATTTGAGGTTGTTTGATATCTGTATACTATTGAGTCTTCTTATCCAGGAGCATTGAATACCAACTCCCACTATTTAGGTCTTACTTAATATCTTTTACTGAAGTTTTATTATTCTCCATAAAGGGATTACATGTTTTTGTTAGATTTATTCCTCATCATTCTGTGTATTTTTATTACCACTACAAAATGGTATTTTTTAACTACTTTTTCTAATTAATTGTTATTGATTTTTAGAAATGTGAATTACTTTTTAATATTGAATTTACATCCAGTAAACTTGTTAAAATATCTTGCTAGTTCTATTAAGTTATCTGTAGATAATTTGGCTTTTCTATGTAGATATCATATCATCTGTAAATAATGACATTTTTGTTTCTTTTCCAGTCTTATGCTTTCTGCTTCTTTTTCTTTTTTTTTAAATCTTTATTGAGATACAATTGACAAATAAAATTGTAAGATATTTAAAGAGAATAGTGTGATTATTTGACATACATATACACTGTGAAAGGATTCTCCTGCACTGAGTTAATTTCAACTTCTTTTTCTCATCCTGCTGCGTTGACTGGGACCTAAAGTATAACATCAAATAGAACTGGTAACAATGAGCATCCTTGTTTTGTTTCTGATCTGAAAAAGAACCATTAACATTTTACCTTTAGGTATGATATTTGCTATAATTTTGTTTTTTAAAGATGTCTTGTTTCAAGTTAAGGAAGTGCCTTTAAAATTTTTGGTTTGCTAGGAGTTCACATCACAAATGGCTGTATAATATTTTTGAATTCTCTTCTATGGAAATGATCACATGATTTTTCTCTTTTACCAGTGAAATAAGTGATAGTAAATGAATTTTCTAATATTAAATAAATCTTGAATTCCTGTCCAGCCAATAAAAATATAACGAGAACCTCCTTTGTGCTTACCCTGTCCTTCTGCTGTACACCAGAGGCTTTAAGACCCTTAGCTTGTTTGCCATGTGAATGATGTATAGTGATTATAACCAAGAGTTCTTACCTCAGCTATCCTGGGACTGTCATAGATTTCTGAAATCTCACAAGGCCTCTCACTTTCCTAAGTTGTTTTAAAAAATAAAACAAAATAAAGAAGAAGAAATGAAAGGTTACAGCATTTGCCCATGACCGTGATTAAAATCAGCGGTTCTTAAACCTGGCTGCACATTAGAATCACCAGAGAGCTTTAAAAATAAAACAAAATAAACAAACAGATAATAACTCCCCCCTCCCAGAAAAAACATAAACAAGAGATACCGCTGTGAATTACTTCAAAAATAATCCAGGTTGACAGTGTGGAAAAGTGGGTGGAAGCGGAGATGAAACAAGATTGGCCGTTGTTAATAACTAGATTCATTATACTATTCTCTCTACTTTAGTATCTGTTTAACGTGATCCGTCATAAAATGTTCGGATATTTTTGGTACCAATGCCACAGCTCTATCATTCAGAGATTCTGATTTAATTGGTTTTGGTGGTTGGTATTTTCATAGCCTCCAAGATGATTTTAAAGTGCCCTGAAAGACTGAGGAACCATTACTTAAATAATACCACCAACAACCACAATATTTCTTAATATATTTAAAGTTTACAGCTTGTCAACACATCTTTATACCCATGATCTCATTCTATCCTTACACCTCCACTTACCTCTTAAAATAAGTTGGGTAGGGACTTCCCTGGTGGCGCAGTGGTTAAGAATCTGCCTGCCAATGCAGGAGACACGGGTTCGAGCCCTGGTCCAGGAAGATCCCACATGCCCGCGAAGCAACCAAGCCCGTGCACCACAACTACTGAGCCTGCGCGCCAGAGCTCTTGAGCCACAACTACTAAGCCTGCGTGCCTAGAGCCCGTGCTCCGCACACAACAAGAGAAGCCACCGCAGTGAGAAGCCTGCGCACCACAGTGAAGAGTAGCCCCCGCTCGCCGCAACTAGAGAAAGCCCACATGCCATGTGAAGACCCAATGCAGCCAAAATTTAAAAAAATTTTTTTAATTAAATAAATAAGGTGGGTATATATTTTTTCTTTTTGGCCGCACTGCACAGCTTATGGGATCTTAGTTCCCCACAAGGGCAAGGAGGGATTGAACCCTGGCCCTTGGCCGCTGAGACCACGGAGTCCTTACCACTGGACCGCCAGGGAATTCCTGAGGTGGGTAGTTTTTATGACTCTTATTTTGGAGTTGAACTAACCAAGAAACAGAAAATGTTAAGTCACTTGTCCAGGATCATATAAATCGTACGGTGGCAGAGCCAGGGTTAGAACCTATGTTTTTTACTCCCCGTTAACGCCTACCACTGTGAGAACAATCAGGAATGTTCCTAAATAAGGATGGAATTAGAGCCCAGAGTCCACACAACACAGTTGTATCACAACCATGGACCCTGGCTGGACGTGGGTCAGGATGGCCCTTGAATTCTGAGCCCGGTCTCCAGAGCAATCTGGTATTTGCATGGGGTGGGGTCGGGAGATTCTCTTGTGACTGATGTGTGTTCAGAAGTGGGAAAAGGACAAAGATAAACAGAATCACATACTCCTGGACGTATCCCTACGATAGACACCTCAGGGTCTGTTTGTCTCCCATCCTTCCTAAGATCACCTCCATCCTCTTTGTGAAGCTTGTGGCCTTGTTTCTCAAGGTTAGAGAACACACCCACTGTACCGACGTGTTTGCCGTAGCAACAAACGTCCCTGTCCGCTGCTACTTTTTGCCATCCCAGATACAATCCTCAAGTGACACAAGGGTTGTGTGACAAATCAGCTCTGCCTGGAGGATAATGTCATGAGTCTGAGACAGAAATTGAGGCACAGAAACATCCACCACCTTGCCCTCAGAAAACAGACATGGGTCCTGACACCCTCAGCCCAAAGCCAGTTCATCAAATACCGATTCTTGCCAACACGTCCAGACCAAAAGAAGCTGCTAATCACCTCGGTGGACTCACTGCTGCTTCTTCTTTGGTGAATCAGAGTAAATAGTAAAGCCACCAGCAGGGCCGTGGCCACCAGGGATGGGATGCCAGCTGCTAACCCAAGAGAGGGTCCACAGTCCTGCACGGAGAAAATAGTCAGGTTCTCCCGGAAAAAAGGAAGAGTTTGATTGATTAAAAGTAAAACAAAACCCTACATGGACCCTAAGTATCGTACACAAAATCGAAAGGGTAATGAAATAACAGTGAAAAATTGTTTGCAACGTACATGACAAACGGCTCATTTTCATAGGAGTTAACGTACATAGTTTAAATCAATTGGAAAAGGGTGATAATTCAGTAGAAAACTGGACAAATATATGAACAAGCCATTCCTAGGAACAGAAATACAAATGTTGCGTCAACACGGGAAGAGCTGAAATACAGTTCAAAGCAACAATTAGATACCATTCTTATCTATTAGTCTGGCAAAAAGTAAAAGGTTTTATTGTATCCCACACCATTTTGATATGAATTTTTTTTTAGTTATTTACATTAAATACATGAGCCAATTCATTTTCAGACTCCCATTTTGCTTTGATCTGAGTGGAAATAGCCATGCTTGTAGCCCCATAAGTTTTCAGATTTGCAGATTATTTGAAAATACCAAAGATAGTGTTCAGAATCCCTACACACATGCAACTGTCGTATAATACTGGATACTCCTTCATTTTTGGGGGGGTGATTTTATTAAAGAATGACATGATACGTAAAAGTATATACATTATAAATATACAGCTTGGTGACTTTTCACGTGATGAACCCACCCATGTAACCAGCACCCAGATGAAGAAACAGAACATTACCAGCCCCCCAGAAGCCCCTCAGGCTCCGTTCCAGTCACTGCATGTGTAACCTCTATCCTGAAATCCATCACCGTAGGTTAGTCTTGTCTGTTTTTCAACGTCATCTAGATGCACGTAGAAAGTATGTAGTCTCTTGTGTCTAGCTTCTTTTGTTCAACACTTTGGGAATCATCTGTGATTTTGCGTGTTCTCCTTCCCTTTTGAACTAAGTTGGTCATAAGAATAGTAGTTGAGGAAGATTCTGTGCTTGGTGACAGTTCACATATCAAACTTTAATCCTCAAAATGAATGCATGAGTTGGGTACAGCATTATCCCCATTTTCTAAATGACCAAACTAAGGCTCCATAATTTAAGTGATATACTTACTGCTCCTTTCCCACTGGTAACAGCTGGGGAGGAAGTCTGGGTGGAAAAAGAACACACGTCTTAAGAAAACAAAATCTATAGAATGCACGTCACACAACACAGTCTGTCCAAGGCTAAGCTGTAATGCCTAAAGTATATACCTTTGCTAAACTTTTTATTAAAAACAACTGCCGAACAGAACCCTCTTTGATTGCTTCTCAGGTAAGAAGGAATAAAATCGGGTTACAAGAAGAGAGAAATCAGAAATTCAGGTGAGGTCTTCATTATTCACCCTGTGGATTTGCCATAACAGGTTTCAGAACTCAAAAAGGTTTTCTCCTGTCCCAAGTCCCCACACCCTTCCCAGCACACTTTGGGCCTACTTGTCCCCGTTGCTAGAAGGGAAAAAAGTTAAATACCAGTGGAAGCCAGGCTCTTTAAGGAGGCCTTACCTGTTTCCAAACTGTAATGAAGCAAATGGCTTGGGCAGGTATCTGAAGTTGTGAATTATCCATGCTCCTGGGGTAATTCTACGTTGCATGAGTACAGTGCATGTTCCCATTTCACATCTCCACTCAAGGAGAGGCACTGGATTTTACCCATTTATGAGATATATCAGATGAGAGTCTTATCTGGATCAATAAATCTCAGGGCACAGAGTTCCACATTAGCAACCGACCCGTGTAAGCTACGCTAGGTGGTGCCGTGTGGGGTTAGGAGCACGAGTCCTAGGCTCACACTAGCCGGAATGAAATGGCGATTTCTCCACTCACAAGCTAACGAGCCTCATTTCTTCATCTATACAATAGGGCTGTGAGTACCTACCTCTAGGATTGGTAAGAAGATCAAATGAGCGCCAGGAGCATAAGCTTTTGTCATTCCTTTAAACTTGGCAAAACTCTGGCCAGACCTGTTATATATTGAATATTCTCATCAACCTCAGTGAGTACACTGGAATCTCAGGGGCTTGGACTTTTGACAGTTATTGTCTCTATTTTACAAAAGAAAAAAAATGATCCAGATCTCAGAGAAGTTATAGGTCTTCTCCCAAGTTTCATAGATAACCATAAATCTAACCCGAATGTGGATGTTTGCTTTCCAAGCCTAAGCCTCTTTCCCAGAGAGTTCCCATCAAAGGAGAGATTTGCTAACCAGGTATTGACACTTGGTACTTAAATGGCTATAGTTTTTAAAAATAGAACTACCATATGACCCAGCAATCCCACTGCTGGGCATATACCCTGAGAAAACCATAATTCAAAAAGAGTCATGTACCACAATGTTCATTGCAGCTCTATTTACAATAGCCAGGACATGGAAGCAACCTAAGTGTCCATCTACAGATGAATGGATAAAGAAGATGTGGTACATATATACAATGGAATATTACTCAGCCATAAAAAGAAACGAAATTGAACTATTTGTAGTGAGGTGGATGAACCTAGAGTCTGTCATACAGAGTGAAATAAGTCAGAAAGAGAAAAACAAATATCGTATGCTAACACATATATATAGAATCTAAAAAAAAAAAATGGTTCTGAAGAACCTAGGGGCAGGACAGGAATAAAGACACAGACATAGAGAATGGACTTGAGGACACAGGGAGGGGGAAGGGTAAGCTGGGACGAAGTGAGAGAGTGGCATTGACATATATACACTACCAAATGTGAAGAGATAGCTAGTGGGAAGCAGCCGCATAGCACAGGGAGATCAGCTCAGTGCTTTGTCACCACCTAGAGGGGTGGGATAGGGATGGTGGGAGGGAGGGAGACGCAAGAGGGAGGAGATATGGGGATATATGTATATGTATAACTGATTCACTTTGTGATACAGCAGAAACTAACACACCATTGTAAAGCAATTATACTCCAATAAAGATGTTAAGAAATAAGTAAATAAAATTTAAAAAAATAAATAGCTACGGTTTTACCAAAGCACAATCTCACCCCACCCCCACCTTAAAGCTGCATTTACCTTAAGAGTTCTATTTCTCAGGGTGATGCCAAGAGTTGCATATCGTTTTGGGTAAGATGTTTTGTCTTCAGGTTACAGAAATTCACTTGGGCTGGCTTTGGCCCCCCAAAATGAGTTACCTCTAAGGATTCAGGGGTACCTCATGGAGCCCATGGGCAGTGGGAATCTGGCCTCTCTAGGGACTGAAGCTGGGGACCGGGAACTTGTCAGAACCAAAGCCATCCCTCCTGGGATCTCTCCATCACTCCTGGGCAGAATGGCCTTTCACCTGTACTTTTCTCTGCCTGTTTGCTTCCTTCTTTCTCTCTCCAGATGGATTTTTCTGCCCTCATGAATACCTGCTAACCGTACCAGCTAATGCTCATGGAGAACTTACTATGTGTCAGGCTGTTCGAGTACTTTTCCTGTATCAACTCATTTATTCTTCACCATAGCCAGTGAAGCAGGACTATAACGATCCCCATTTTACAGAAGAGAAGAGTGAGGCACAGAGAAGTCAAGTAACTTGTGCAAGGTCACACAGCCCTAAGTGGCAGATGCCGAGTGGTCTGGCTCCAGGGTCCAAGTTCTTAACCGTTGGACTACTCTGCCTTCCATGACCAAATGCAGCATCCCAACCCAGTTTTTATACTTGACAGTTCAGTATGACCCAGTAGGGGGTGACTTGCATATGTGGCCCTGTCCCCAACTCCCTGCAGAGAAGCTCTCATGAGCTGAGTATCCACCTTTCCCTA